AATTATTTCATATCTTTCAAACTTTTTTTAATGAAATTCAAACTCAGTTCGGTGTTTCTATTAGAGTTTTGCGCAGTGATAATGGTCGTGAATATCTTTCTCATTCTTTTAAACAATTCATGGCTTCTCATGGTATTTTGCATCAAACTTCTTGTGCTTATACACCTCAACAAAATGGTGTAGCTGAAAGTAAAAATAGACATCTTATTGAAACAACTCGCACTCTTTTAATTCATGGAGAGGTTCCTCAGCATTTTTGGGGTGATGTTCTTCTTACTGCATGTTATCTTGTTAATCGCATGTCATCTTCGGTTCTAGATAATAAAATACCTCATTCCATTTTATTCCCTCATGAACCACTTCATCCCTTACCTCTAAAAGTTTTTGGGTCTACATGTTTTGTTCATAATTTTAGTTCTAATCTTGACAAGTTTTCTCCTAGATCACATAAATGTGTTTTCTTAGGGTTTACAAGATCACAAAAAGGATACAAATGTTTTTCTCCTTCTCTTAACCATTATTTTGTGTCTGCAGATGTCACATTTGATGAGTTCTCTTTTTATTTTAAAAGTCAATCTTCACCTCTGTCTCCATTCAATCTTGTCAACACTCCTAGTACATTTAATGTTCCTGTTGTTTGTGACCCTCTAACTGTGTCTTCTTCACCATTAGATTCTAATCCGCAGTCAACTTCTTCTTCACTGCCTCTTCAGGTTTATAGTTGCCGAAACCAATCACAACCACCACCATGTGACTCTACTCAAGTGCCAACTACTCTGTCTCCTTCGGATGTGACACCTGAGTCTGACCTTCCCATTGCTCTCCGAAAAGGTATCCATTCTACACGTAATCCCTCTCCTCATTATATTGGTTTGAGTTATCATCGACTGTCATTACCTTTTTATACATGTCTTTCCTCTCTTTCTTATGTGATCATTCCAAAAACTGTCCGTGAAGCTTTAGCCAATCCTGGTTGGCGTCAGGCCATGTTAGATGAGCTAAGTGTTCTTCATAATAGTGGAACTTGGGAATTGGTCTCGTTACCGTGTGGGAAATCTGTTGTTGGTTGCAGGTGGGTGTTTGTTATCAAAGTTGGATCTGATGGTACTATTGATCGCATCAAAGCTCGTCTTGTGGCCAAAGGTTATACTCATATTTTTGGGTTGGATTATGGAGATACCTTTTCTCCTGTGGCAAAGATGACTTCTGTTTGTTTATTTATCGCCATGATCACTCTTCAACAATGGCCTTTTTATCAACTAGATGTTAAAAATGCTTTCCTCAATGGTGATTTGCAAGAAGAAATCTATATGGAGCAACCTCCTGAGTTTGTTGCTCAGGGGGAGTCTTCTGGGATGGTATGTCGTCTTCGCAAATCCCTATATGGCCTAAAACAGTCTCCTAGGGCCTGGTTTGGAAAGTTTAGCAAGGTTGTTCAACAATTTGGTATGACTCGGTGTGAAGCAGATCACTCTGTCTTTTATCGACACTCAAGTGCTGGATGTGTTTACTTGATAGTATATGTTGATGACATCGTTCTTACAGGTAGTGATAACCATGACATCTCTCAGTTGAAACAACATCTCTATCACCATTTTCAGACCAAAGATCTTGGCAAATTTAGATATTTCTTGGATATTGAGGTGGCACAGTCCAATGATGATATTGTTATATCTCAAAGGAAGTATACCATAGATATTTTAGAGGAAACTAGGTTGATGAATTCAAAGTCTGTTGATACGCCCATGGATCCCAATACTAAACTTTTACCAAATCAGGGGGAGCTTATACCTGTTCCTGAGCAGTATAGAAGATTGGTTGGAAAATTGAATTATCTTACAGTTACTCATCCTGACATTTCCTTTGCAGTAGGGATGACAATTAAACCCGTCCCCGTGGGGACCGACCCATCCCCGCCCCGAGTTTGATGGGGAAAACTCGAGTTGACTGGGGGCGGGGGCGGGTTCGGGTTTTCCCCGCTTTAAAAAGTCGGGCGGGCGGGGATGGGTAATGCAATCCCCACCCCAACCCCGCCGCGTCCCCGCCCCGACTTTATATTTAAATTTAAATTTTAAAATATTAATATTTTAAAAGTATTTTCTTTTCTTTTTCTATTACATATAAGGTCATTTTTTTATATTTTACCAATTTTTATTTTTCTTCTACCTATTTTTTAATTTTTTATATCAATTAATTTATTATATTATTCTCTCTTATACCTTGTAGTTTTTCATATCTTCTTAATCTCTCTCATCAATTTGTTTTTTTTTTCAATCTTTTCAATCAATTTGATGAACATAGATAATTTTTTTATTCTTTATCTTTTTCTAAATATTTTACATAAATATTAATAGTAACTAATATTATTTTATTTATAATTTATATTTATTAGGTTTTATTATGTCATTTTTTTATCTTATTATTCTTATTTATCATATATCAAATTTTATCTTAATAAAATAATTGTATTTTAAAGGATTAAAGGAATTGATAATTTAAACTTTTATTACTTTGAATTAATTGAATAATAATTAACTTATTAAATATTTCATTATAAACTATATATTTCATATTTTTAAATTACAACTTAAAAATGAATTAACTTATATATATAATCAAATGTTTGAATACAGTATTATAATAATAATGATAATGTTATAAGTATTCAAATATTTGAATACAGTATTATAATAATAATAATAATGTTATAAATAAAAAATGATTAAATATTTCTTTTACATACATATTTTAATATAAATATAATAAATTAAAATGTATATTTAATTAATAATTATTATAAATTATAAAATTATAAATATTTATTTATATATAAAAAATAGATAGTAAAATTAATTTATTATAAATGTAATTATCTTTTTAAAAATAATATAGATCGGGGACGAGGCGGGACGGGAACCCGATACCCGACGGGACGGGCGGGACTGGGAACCCGAAACCCAGCGGGGACGGGGATGAGGACTTAATTTCTAACCCCGGCGGGGATCGGGGGCGGGGACGGAGATGATTAAAAAAGTCGGGGGCGGGGATCGGGGAGGCAAAACCCGCCCCCGCCCCGCCCCATTGCCATGCCTACTTTGCAGTCAGTGTGGTAAGTCAATTTCTTAATTCCCCATGTGAAGATCATTGGAATGCAGTCATTCGTATCTTAAAGTATATTAAAGGATCTACTGGAAAATGATTGTTATATGATTCTAATAATCATACAAGAGTTATTTGCTACTCAGATGCTAATTGGGCAGGATCTCCTTCGGATAGAAGATCTACATCTGGATATTGTGTCTCCATTGGTGGTAACTTGGTCTCATGGAAAAGTAAGAAACAAAGTGTTGTGGCAAGATCTAGTGCAGAAGCAGAATATAGAGCTATGGCCTCAGCTGCTTGTGAACTTGTTTGGCTCAAGCAATTGCTTAGAGAGTTACAATTTGGAGATATCACTCAAATGTCACTTGTGTGTGACAATCAGGCTACTCTTCATATTAGTTCTAATCCCGTCTTTCATGAGAGGACCAAACACATTGAGATTGACTGTCATTTCATTCGAGAAAAGATTATGTCTGGAGACATCAAGACTGAATTTGTTAACTCAAGTGATCAGTTAGCAGATATTTTTACTAAATATTTACGGGGTCCTAGAATTGATTATATTTGTAACAAGCTTGACACATACGATTTGTATGCTCCAGCTTGAGGGGAGTGTTAGATATTGTTTAGATATTATTTAATATTGTTAAGATATTGTTAGATATTAACCATAATATCAAACAATATCTTCCGATTATTCTGTTACTTTCAGTTACTCTTTTAGTTGTATCTCTCTACTATAAATAGACCATCCTATGTGTGATTTATACACAAGGGAGATTAATCCCAAACTCTATTTCTTCTATATTCAACAAAATCAAATAAGAAAACTAATTTATACTCTTTAGAAGCCAGTTTATGAAATTCAATTACTTATCAAATAAATATCTTCCAATTTTAAACCAACTCTCTTAGTTTGGAAACCCAGAATATTCAAGTTATATGAAACTTTAAATTTAAAGGTCGTAAAAAAATAATCTTGTGTTTTAAGCATGTGATAGCTAGTTTAGTTTCAATTGTATGAAAAAAAATCTATTTAAAGAGGTCATACATATTTGATTTTTATATAATATTTTCCTAGTATCATCCTTCATAATGGACATGCTTCTTATTAAGAAGAATAAGTTTCTGAACCTCTCTCAAAAGCCCTCCAAATCAACTAAAAGTTGGAGCTGAGCTTGAGGAAGCTTTTGAAAATGCATGGATGCAATGCAAAGAAGCTTATGCAGCTGATTATATATTTCATTTTATTTTATATGATACAATACAAGGCACTGCCATTTCTTATAATTAAAAAGCTGGAGATGGACAAACATGTAACAGTATTTAGAAAGGAGTAGAGGGCCATGAAATTGATGGAGAATGAATGATAATTATGTTGGTGTGCTGAAATTGAGGCTGTGAATATGCTGTCTCGTCCATACTTTGAAGAATGTTGCACAAAAGAGTTTAGACAAAGAAGGACAATGAGTGATAAGTCAGGCAAAACACTTGTACTATATTGTCGGTATCCTTTCTGAGATATTTTCAGATATCATAATACCATGTTTGGGACCAAAAAATAAAGCAAACCATACTTATATTGTTTTATGTTGCACTTTGTATATAGACAGAGATTATAAACATGAAGGAAAGCTGCGTGCAAGTAATCATTTCCTTTCATTTGTGATTTAAGCAATGACATTGGCATGTCTCTATTTCTTTTTCAACATTCCTAATGTCAAAAGTTCCATCTCACACTATATATATCATTGCCAAAATCACTAACTTTTTTTTTTTTTTTTTCTATTGTCTATGTGTCACTCCTTACTGAGCCTGGACAAGTAAAATTTCAAGATCTCACTGACATAACTAAAAGAGACCAAATGAAAGAAACAAAAAATTGCCATTTTCTTACATTAACGAAATGGAAAGAGTGATATTGGACCTCTGCTATTACAATCTTCGCTGGCACTAGCCTGATTTTGATGCCTATTATTCTGTTCTATGATGGTTTGAAAATCTAAGTAAACTTGCCTATCGTTTGCTGAATCCATTGAGAAAGATCTTCGAATAGGCTGAATAGAAAACTGCTCATCTTTCTTCCTAACATCAATGCACTCATCTCCCATGATGGAAACATTCCTTGTAATGGAGTGACTTCTACTCTGTACTGTTATTTCCCTTGAGTCACTTCTTTCTTGTTGCATCTGAGGCAGTGCTACGCCACGTTCTCCCCCGAGTTCAATTACCACGAAATCCTCTTCACTGCCCGTGTAAGAGAACATTTGAGAGTCCTGAGGAGAAGAGCTTGGAGCTATGACATGATCCATTGGAAAGTGTGTGTTTCCCGAAAGAATGCTTGATCTACAAAGAGGGCAATTGGCATTGGTTTGAAGCCAAATGTCAATGCAATGCAAGTGAAAGGCATGTTTGCAAATGGGAAGAACTTTTAGCATATCATGATCTTGAAACTCAGTCAAACAAACCACGCAGCCAAACACACTTTGATTCTTTTCAACTTCTCCTTTTGTGAATTGAAGTGTCGGGATTTCTCTGATGTCAGATTCATCAAGTCCTTGGTTCCACATCCTTGGAGAGAGTGCTATGAAGGGGTCTTGATCTTCATGTTGTGAGGTACAAAGGGTGGAGATCCATCTCAAGGGGTTAAGTAGGTACCAGTTTGAGAAGCATTTGGTCACAAGAGTTAAGTAGGTGATGAGTATGAAAGCAGAGACAAAGATGCTGGGAACAATGATGGCCAGTACAGGCAAAGCAGAAGCAGAATCTGAAGCAGGTTGTGGTGTGTGATGTATGAGCTTGTAAGAGGGGTTGTGGTTCAGAGCCATTTGAAACCTTCGAATGGGAGATAAATGAAAACTTTGATAGTTCCTACTCTTCCTAGAAATGTAACGATCTTGTTTTGGAAAGAAAGGTGTGATGAAAGTGAAATGACCATAAAATTAATGCGTTTGGATCAGTCCTTAGTTGTGCGGAACAGACACATGTCTTGGTCAAAATGAAAAGGAACAACACCAAGATAAGCACGAGGGGTCAGGTTTCACTCATATACAATGAGGGTTATTCCTTCCCCAATAAAAGAAAAATAGCTTTACCACCAAGTGTAACACTTCAACATCACTGACTTCTTTTTCACCACAGTTTAACTTAGCTGTCAAAATTTAACCTCTTGTTATTAAAAAAATAAATTTGTTCTTCTATGCCAGTACAACTTGGAGGTCGAGGGTTGAGAGTTGCTTCAGGATGGTCACAGTGGATACCATTTGTAAATACTTTGACGTGAGCTTAGTGAGTTTTATCTTAACTTGAGGTTTGGAGTCCATTTAGCATACCTCTACTAATCTAGGCATGACCATGAGTATATATATATATATATATATATATATATATATATGGTAGTAGCAGCCCAATGGATATTTATAAGCCCAAAAGGATTACTAGAAGACCTCAAGATTGGGATAAGTACATCCATTGTGTGGAAGAACATCTTAAATTATGCTTTGTGGGATAAGTTACTTTCTCAATCCTCAATTTAGGAAAAAATATATTTTACTGTCATCAAATACTATACTCCGATTATCTACCGTGTTTTGATTGAAAGTTGAATTCAGAAAAGGACTACGTTTAAGTTGAATTAAAGTTCATACTGAATATTGATAACTAAGTGAAGCATAGTAATGTCATTTTTTCTATTATCCCGATGATGGGGCTTTTAAGACTTTGATCAAGGGCATTCTTTGGTGAGGAGGTTCACTCTTTATTAAGAAGATTAAGGATGCAGTTTTTGACAAATGACACCAACCTTGTTCTTGAACTATGTATGGCAATATAACTTGGGGTCAAAGGGTTAAGAGTTTTTCGATGAGTTTTATGATGGATGGAAACTTCGGCACAATGACTTGTACAATGTTCTTCTTAAATTGTGTTTAAATGCTTTGGTACATGTGCGTTTTTTCACAGGTATGAAGAACATGGATGAATTTAACATATAATAATTACGAATGAGAACTATAACTGTGATGGATAACATGTAGGATTCCTTAAACATGATTTTATTATTTATTGATTTGTTGTATGCTAACTTGTATAGCAGGTCATGTGTCACATGACATTTGATCAAGTTAGAATCATAGGACGTAAGTACCCTAATTCAAATTAAGAGGGGATGCATCTATTTTTTGCAATGTCCCCCGTTTTCTCATTTTAAACGTGTTAAATTTAATGTAATCATATACTATCGTGTTTGGGAAGTAGTTTTACCTGGGATGATGGCACCCTTATGTCTGTCGTCTTTTTCTTTATTCGATCTGAGCTTTTGTTTCTGTCCTTTTGATTTCCAACATTTGTTGACTCCAACAACCCTTTGTACAATATAATCTCTCTGTCCATTGAATTTCATCAAAAAATGCCACCAAAAAGCAATGGAGAAAAACTCGTTTCAAACGGGGTCAATGTCCGTCTTATTCAACTTCCTTTCAGATTCAGAAACAAGACCTGCAAACTCGAAATCACTTCCAACAACAGCGTTCCTGTGATTTATCTTAGCTCAGTCATGCACATGAAGGTGATTCTGCTACTAATTACACATAAAACTCTCTCTCACTCTCATTTTGGTCAAAATATGCAAATTCCAAAGCTCAATAAAGTGGATCAGTTACACACAGTTGTATAAATGCGTTTTTTTTTTTTTTAATTACTAGCAGACCCGACATATGTTATTGAAAAGGTTCGTTTATGGTGGGACAGGGGAATCCTATGACATCATCCTCGGGAGCATTTACAGCAACCTTGTCTCAAAATCCCTGCTTTATATGGATAAGTGATGCTATGCCTACATAAATTCTTGCAAGTGCAACTGTGGTCTAATCCTAATTAAGACTATGTTTGGCATGTTCTGTTGCACTAATTACAAATTAAGAGTTAGCATCAAGGATTAAGATTACAGTAGTAAAGAAATTTGAATCAAGAGTTTTGTGGGGATAATATGCGAAGGGCTTGAAATTACTTAAGCATCAAGTTCCGGATGAACTTTTCTCTGGACATTTACAGAATAGAAAATGATAAAATAAATTAAATTTCTTATATAAGTTAAAATTATCTTACCTTCTTAACATTTTATAGATTTTTTTTTTCATTTATACAACCAACCAAATACTAATCAGGAACCATGTTTGAATCACCCGAACCTCATGATTGTTTAAGGTTACATGTCTTCAAAGGGGCAGAGTGGAGAGATATTGGTCTCTTCCTCATGCATCACTCATCAATTGCAGGTAGAATTTTGCTATTTATAAAGTCCTTAGTCAAATCATTTGATTCCTCTTAATTATATTTTAACCAAATCTACAAATCAGCCAATCAGGACAAGGACTGGTTCCCTCCTCTGTTTTAGATTTGGTTTTGATTGTTTTGTATTTTTGGCACATCATTAGCAATGGAACGCTAAAGAAAACTGAGCATCAAGTTGTAACAAATCAAGTAACCTTGCATAACTGCAGTCCTTTTGTAAATCCATCATAAGAACAAATATGTGATATAGTAAAATGATGATTTGTTCTTCTTTTATATGAACCCAATTGCATGCTTATGCAGGCATAAAATGTCTTTTACAATTGTGAAATCAGCAAGTAATTAACAATAGCCAGAGTATTGACACCAGTGATTAAGTAAAATAATATTAAGTTGGTTTTATGTGTTTTTCTGCAAAAAAAGACGTCACTGATAGACTAGTCCAGGTGTGTTATGCACCACAGGGGACAAGGGAGAAACGAAGATGCAGATCGTCATGCTGCTACGTTTTCATATATTATTATTTTAGTTTGACTTGTTACTGTGTTATATCTCAGAAAAACGGTTTGAGTTGACATCCACATCAAATAATGCAAATCGAGAAGGCCAGTAGGTTCAGTTTCATTTCAACCTAAAACCATGATGTAAGATGATGGCTATTTGATATTCTAATGAAGTTCAATGTTTCTCCTTCATTAGAATACTTTTAACCACGTGATGAAATTCATCTAATATTTTTACGTCTCAATCCTATCCTTTAAATTAATACATAGTAATCTTCTCAGAGAATTTCCACTACTTAATTGATCTTGGGACCAGAGGATCATTAGTTTAGGGAAACAAGTGGCTAAGGGAATACAAATGGTTATTTTTCTATATCCCAATTTCTATTATATATTGCTAATAATGATTCGATTAGCTTTAGCATAAACTTGCACTGCATGATCCTTCTGACCTCACCGTCTGTCCTATTATAACTAGGAAACCGAAAGGGTGACTTTGTGTGAGAATAATCCAATCAAAAATTTGCATAAGTGACAGCCTTTAGCAGTGATGATCACTATGTGATCCACATGCACTGAACACTAAAACCAATCTCCATCAAGGGGTAGCTTAAAGGTTGATAATTTTTCATTTATTCTCATTCATTGAATGTGCTCAATCTATGGTAAATTTCCACACATAGTCAAGATTACATACATATATTGTTTGCTCAATATAAAAAGGCCAAGCCAAGTTAAACAAATGTGGCACAATATATGGAGGACTTAAAGGAAAAGGTCAATGAAGGGGAACCAAAGGAAATAAAGTATAGAGGAGTAAGGAGGAGGCCATGGGGAAAGTTTGCTGCAGAGATTAGAGATTCGGCTAGACATGGAGCTCGTGTGTGGCTTGGGACCTTTAACACTGCTGAGGAGGCAGCAAGAGCTTACGATCGTGCTGCCTTTGAAATGAGAGGAACAATGGCCATTCTCAACTTCCCACATGAACACCTTCCTTGCAATGTGGCCACTTTCAGCAACAAGTCCTCATCATCTAAGACTGAACTTGGTAAACAAGTTGTCGTATTTGAGTATCTGGATGACAAATTGTTAGAGGAACTCCTTGATTGTGATGACAAAACCGGCAATGAACACTTCGACAAGTAGGCTCATCCAAGATTTGTATGTGCTTGTGTTCAATTAAATAGAGTAACCATGGCACGTGGTTATACAATTTTGTTCACAGAGTACGTGTATTTTATATGGGGACTATACAATTTGAGTAAAATAGGGTTTGGGTAAGTTGTAACAGAAATGAATTTTTATTTTTATCCAGTAATTATTTATCTATCACAGTTCACTCCAATCTAATCTAACTTACCTATATTTTAAAAAATTAATAATTTTTAATCAAACACAATCTTACGTAAATAGATTAACTAGCTAATTATGTATTAATTAAAAATTAAAAAATATATTTATATATTTATACTAAAATAAATAATTTAAAATATTTAAATAAAAATTTAAAATTTAAAACATGTTTTTAAAATTTAAATTATATTAATAAAATTATTTTTATTTAAAATACAATGATTTAATATATAAATTATAAAAGAATAAATTCAGTAAATCTCAATATAAAAATAAAAACTTAATATTTTTTATTATTATTTATTTTATAATAATTTAATAATCTAAAATAATAATTAATTTTAATAATTAAATATTAAAATAAATAATTATTAAAAACTTACTTTAATATTTATTTATAAAATAAATAAAATCTTATCAAAATAATTTATAATACATATATATTTTTAATAAAATAATATTATCTTTTAAAAATAATTATTATTATATAAAATAGATAAATAAATTTACAGACTAATCTTAACTCATATAATTCATGATAATCCAAACAGATCCTATATCAAAATAAATCTAATTTAATTTAAGTTATAATTTTTTTTTAAATTTTTATGTATTTGATACCAATTTAATATCTAACGATTAATAATTAACAAAAAGACTAATTAAGTGTTTTAGTGTTATTTTTTCTCTATTCATAAGTAATGATACTCCTAGGCCAACAGAAAATGACCTAAGTAGGCAAACTAGCTTATATTTCCCCGTTTAATATTGTAAGTTTAGTCGTGTTTGCACCGTTAATAACAACATAAGTAATAAAATAATAAAGAAGTAGCAACGCTGGCCAACAATAAAATATGATCAAACTATAAAATGCGTTAGAGACTCTTAACTATAACAAAAATTACAATAAAATAGCTGGTAGTATTACATTAAAAAGACACAAAAATACATCTACGTTGCTATTATTATACGCATTCACATATTATTATTATTATTATTTTAAAATCGATCTAATTAATTTATTTTGTTCTGTGACATTTTAAATAAAATATATGGATAATTGTTTTAGAAAATAAAATATGGCGGCGAGCATCTAGATCCTAGACTCTAGATTCTATCTTATTTGTTTAATATTGGTGTGTGTATTATTTAGATCCAAATATCATTATGACTTTCTTTTTATAGTAAGTTGAATAAAATAGACTTTGCATTTGTTGTCTTCGTATTTATTTTATGTTATCTTTTTACATAATGCTTAAGAGTCAATACATGCGGCTTTTATAAGAAAATATAAAATTGAAAATCCTATTTTACTTAATGACGTTGTGTGCTATATTTTATACCCTAAGATTTTTGTAGGACGAATTTTTTTTAGACATGGTGAGGAAGGAAGAGAATATAGGTTAAGGATAGATTTTCCAAAACAAGAGAAAAATGTGAAAAGTTTAACATGTTATGTTACTAGTAGTTTTCATAAATTTATAATAAAATAATGTATTACATTTTATTTTTAGAAACAATAAAGAGACAGAAAAACAATTTATATATATATATATATATATATATATATAATTTATATAATAATAAATCAAAATATATTAATATAATAATTTATAAAATTTATATCTGCGTGAAAAATATAAATATTAAAGAATGTTTTAAACTTATACTACACAAAATAATTCACTTCACTTAATTACAAAAAATTAAAGATAATAAGTAATGAAAGGATATTAAACAATTGTAATTCATCATCAATCAACAATTATAATTTACAGCTGTTATTAGCAAATTTATTAATGTATAAAAAAAAGTTAAGAAAAATATTAAAGTTTTAAAATGGAAAATGACAATGAAAACAATTTTTTACGTTTCGTTTACAAATTTTTGTTTTATTTTTAATAGAGTTAAATTTATTTTTGTGAAATTTATTTTTATAATACATTTATTTTGCTGTTATTTAATTTTTATATACATTTATATTTTTTGACTTTACTTGAAATTAATACTAAAAATTTAAATTATATAAAAGATGGATAGAAATTGATATTGTATTAATTATTAAATGATAAAAAATAATTAAGTAATTAAAAGAATTCTTAGAATCCACGTAATAATAATTAAAGTGGTTCAACACAAAAATATCGAAATTAATAACAACGAACATGTGAAATTCACCAGAAACAACATTAACAAAACAAGATATATTAATATAAATTTGAATATGAATAAAATACAATGTCAAATAGATAATTATAAATAATCGTTAATGAGTATTTTATATGTAGTATATAATTATCAATAGTATAATTTTATTTTATTTGAAGGGATAGATGATAATTTATAAATGATAATAACTTAATAAATATACATCTTTAAAAAATAAATAATTAAAAAAAATAACGATAACAGAAATAAAATAACACATATAATTTTTTTTATAAGAATAGAATATATACCTTTTATGTTATTATATATTGTCTTCAAGATAATTGATACTTGGCACTGATTATAAATATATTGTATATAAAAATGTCATTACTTTTATTATTAATGAATAATACATATTTAATAAAAAATAATTTAAAAAATAGTACAAATCTGTTATGTTATATTTCATAGATTATTAGTTAATTGATATAAAATATTGTATCATAAAAATCCGTAGTGTAAAGAAGGAAATCGTAGAGTAATATATATTCTTTAAAGCTTTTTAGTAACTAACAACTGAGAAATATTTTGCCATTCATGTTCTCCTAAATTAGAAATTTGAAAACACAGGGAAGAGTTTAAGAGGGAAAAATGTCATGGTAGAAGTGGAAGAAATGAAAGCCAAATCTCTTTTCTTTGCAATTGTCATGCTCTATAATGTATATATTATTAATAAACATATACTATTTAGTTTTCAAAAATATAGAATCAAATGCTATTTATTTTTTCTTTCATTGTTCTCAATCTTGACATTATTCAAACAAAATACAACAAATATAAAAAATGTTGAAATAAGACTACGCAATTCATGCAACAAATTCTGCTAGCAGTCATTTTATACCAGACAGAGAATTCTAGGTGATGAGGCGGCGCGTTTCACCATCATTGGTCCTGCCATTGAAGCACTGCTTCAAGCCTTTGAAATTGCATCAATTGACTCACGTGCGTAAAGTACTAGTAGTAGTAATCTAAACCTGGAAAATTTAATGAGGACTAGGTCCAATCATTTGTTTATTTCAATTACACCATCATCCACTAATCCTAACTCAACCTTTCTTAATTAATTCACTCCCAATTTGAACATCCTCCATTGGTTAATTCACCCCCCGAATCCCATACGCTTTCCTTCTCTTTTCATTCGATATATAAAGTTCAAGCCACTCAACTTTTGTTCGTAGAAAACAAAAAATTACTAAATCAAAGCCTAGAATGGATTTTAATTCTTCTCAACTTTCATACCAAAGTCTAGAATCCCATCTCAACTCATGGGAAGAGTTATTTTTGTTCGACAACCTTCCCTTGAACAATGCAACAAATGAATCGTCCTTGGACTCCAAATCCTCATCCTCCATTGGAGAAATGGAGTTACAAGAGCACACCTCTGGTATTACACATGATGGTTCAAATCCACAACCTGTATCAATAGCCCCAACAACGAAAGAGAAGAGACCCTATAGAGGAGTAAGAAGAAGGCCATGGGGAAAATTCGCAGCAGAAATAAGAGACCCTACAAGAAATGGTGTTCGAGTATGGATTGGAACATTTGACACTGCTGAAGCAGCTGCTATAGCTTATGATCAAGCAGCTTTCTTGACAAGGGGTGTTCTTGCTACCCTTAACTTTTCAGCACAAGTGGTGGTGGAGTCCCTCCATGACATGGGTTTCAAGGCACTGAAAAATGGTGTCTCGCCCTTGCTGGAACTCAAAAGGATGCACGTGATGAGAACGAAATCTAGGGTTAGAAGGAGTGGTGGTAAAAAGGTTAAAAGGGGTTGCAGCAACGGGAAATTGGAGGCTGCTACTGAAAGTGTGTTGGTGTTGGAGGATTTGGGTCCTGAATACCTCGACCAACTTTTGAGCTTCACTTCCCCTGGTTCTTGGTGCTGAATTTTGTTGAGTCGTTATTGACTGAGAAGTTTCAAACAACAAAACCTTTATACATTTATTTATACTCATTCATTCATTATTCACAGCTTGTATTTATTCTTAAAGTGGTCCTTAAAGCATCTCTAATACTTAAATATTTTATTAGGAGTCTCTGAATCATTTAAAAATAAAAAAATTATTTAAAATTAAAAGAAAATTATTTAAGTCATTGATGTCAGACCATAATAAAATATTTAATTTTAAATAATTTTAGTTAAAAATTTTCTTTAAAAATACTCTTAATTAATTAATTTATTTTCTTCTTGTTAACAGAAAAATTGGTTCAAATAGTATATTTTTAGGATAAGACTTATAACATAATTACACATATTAATAAAAATAATTAATTAAATTAAATTTATAAAAATATTAACAATGTACGCAATAAACCTTTATTAGTATTGATTTTTAATTTATATTATTCATTAATATTAAATATAAATGCTCATAATATTTAATAAAAATAAACAAGAAAATTAAATATAAGATTATATAAAAACAATAACATACGTTTAAATGAATAAAAAATTTCTTATGCGGAAGGAAATAATTAATAACAACAAATGATTAAAATTTACTCATATATATATATATATAATTAGATTAGATAACAGAAAAATAAATGATGAAGATAAAAAAAATTAAGTACGTGATGTCAATCTGGTTTATATGTATGCTTAATTTAATAATTAATCCATGTTTTTATTTTATTTTTATATTTACGATCACATGAGAATGTAATGAAATTTTTTTTGAAATATTTATTTTAATGCAAAGAACTTTGCAAATAATTTATTCCCCTGTTTATAAAACTCAAACTAGAAGTGTCGTTTGTTTCTTTTTTACTTGATTCATAATATTCCTTATGTTAACTATTTATGCTTTTATATAAAAACTAAAAAATGTAATAAAAATTTCACGACTCTAATGAAATACTACCTAGGTTTCTTTATAAGACATTAACAACTAATTTACATTAATAAGATTGATTAATTTAGTTAGTAATATTAAATTTGTTTAAGGTATCTTTTTAAATAAATAATTTTAGATTAAAAACTAGATTTGACCTACTTTTTCGAAAGTTTAGTTTGATCTGGACTTGATGTAAATTTCTCATTAACTCTTGTGGATAGCCTGAATAGCTTTATCTCCAATAAAGTTATAATTAACAAAAATAAAATACTTAACATTATTTTTAATTTTAATAACAATAGATAAATAAAAAAGCATTCTAAAAGTCAGTTAAAAAACCAGGCCTTGGATCCTAATAAAATAAACTTAAATAATTACAAAAGAGTTGATAAATAATGTTTAGAAGCAATAAATTATGCATATTGTTACCAAATTATTATGTGTTGTGTTGCACAATTCTTTCTCGATGAACGAATTACAATAGCTGTATATAATAATATGTATTATGTATTTCAGCATAATCTTCTCAAAATATATAATAAAACTATTTTGTTTCATCATTTCTTGACAACATTTATTATATGCAAAGAAAATACATTTTATTTTGTATTTTTAATTTTTAAAATGTTTTAAAAGGATGTGAATTTTTATTTTAAAAATTTATTATTTTACTAATATATTTTTTATACTAAGTTCGAACTTGTACTCTCGTGAAATCTCAATTATTTAATGCATTTTATTCATTTATAAATTCACGTTTGACTACAGGATTGGAAACTTTTACCACAAGGCTTGATAATTAATTCTTGAGTAATATATATATATATATATATATATATATATATATATATATATATATATATATATATATATATATATATATATATTCTTACTACTTAGATTTAATTCTAATTTATCTCTATAAAGTTGATTTATAAGATAAAATTTATTCTCTATTTTAGCTATAATAATAATTTATATAACTTTAATTTAACTTTTCAAGCAAATTTTAATTTATTTTAGAATTTAGAATTTATATTTAATTTAACTATACAAAATATATAAAAGTTATTTTTCATTTTTACACTACATTTTTCAGGATATAAGATCCTGGATTAGACAAAATATAGCTCAAGAAAAAGGATTATAGTAAAATATAAAAGATTTTCAATATTTATGATGATTTATATATGTTGCAACATGTAGCATATTAGCTGACATTGTGTTCCTTGTTGTAATTTATCTATTTGTTTAAAGTTTGAATCAAATTCGACGGCTTATTATTAGTCAAAATATTAGGATTAAAATAGAAGGCATAATTAGCATGTTTACAGCGAGGGTTTGTATTTGGACCAAACTTATCTAAATTAACAAACTAACTGAAAAAAATAATTAAAGAGCAAAAATTATTATTTTTGTTATTTAATTCCAACATAAAACCAATCGACAATATGTGGAGAAGATTAAATCATACCAAATAATCTAAGATAGGTAATGCGGGACTTTGAACAGTTTTCATCAGATTAATTTTGGTTTCGTGAAGTTTAGTCACGGTTTAGATTAATTTATTTTTTATCAACATTATCTAGGAATATGCTGTTTCAGGAAAAGAACAAAGTTAAAATTAAACATGAGGTAATTGAAAACATGTATTTTACAAAACTCGTTGGAACAATCCGGCCAAAATGAATTAATCTGGTTCAATTATTAAATCCAAGAGAAAATATCACTTAAAAAATAACTCTGGTTAATTTAATTTCATGATTTTTTTTATTTCTTCAAAATAAACTGAACTAATTAATCATGAAATTTATACAATTTGCCTGCTATTAAAGGTATCAACTTAGTTTGGATTTTTCAATTTTAAATTTTAAATTCAATCATATATTTTATACCCTCTTTGCTCTAAATATTTTGTTAACTAATAATGATTATCAGATTTGAATACAAGTTTTTTTATAAATTATTCAAAAATTTACCTCTTAAATGATCTTAAAAAGTTAATTTTATTATTAATTAATGGATTAAGCAACTATTGTTACGTTGTTACAATTAATATTTCATAATTAGATATAAATATAAAAATATAATAATAATAATAATAATAATAATAATATTTTAGATTTTTTTACTTATTATATATAGATTATATAATTTCTGTTACATTATCATGTGTGAAAATAGAATTATCATTCATCAAAATTCATTAAGTTCATCAATCGTTATCACGACCATTCTAAAAAATAATTATTATATATGATCTAGATTTTTTAACCAGAAGTCTCACCAACATAATCGAGCCTTTTATCAATTCAACATCAAGATAAGTTTTGGTTTGATTTTAGTCTGACATTAAAGGTTAATTGTCCTAATTGATTAGTCTCATAAGTTGAGAAGCTCATACCTACATGACAAGTTTATTTTAAAACAAAAATTATTACCGTCAAATTACTTACCGGTAATTTTGTTACATATTGTGTTTTATTTTTATCCAAATTTTATTATCCATGATGTTTTTTATATACCACATTTTAATTTTAATCTTCTATATATTTCTAAATTAATTTCCAACTTACTCTACACTTTTACTATTTTTACAAATATCTATATATAAATTCATCGAAGACAATTGATTTAAGCAAATTATAAAAGACCTCTACCATTTTGGTATTATATCTCACCATCATAAACATAAGAACAACATTTTTACTATTATTATTACCTCCAACATTTGACATTATAGGTTAAGTTATGAAAATAGATTGAATATTTTACATCAACAAATTTTCTTTATTTCTAAGTATGTCAATGAATATTGTGACGTTTGTATTTAACTAAATAAAGAAAATTCCTTTATTCATCCAGTATTAATAAAATATTTAAATTTTTTGAACTTATTCATATCGATATTTAACGAACCTATTCTAGAACTTTAGACATTGTCACACGAATTTTCTAACTAGTCTTTACACATGAGTTATTTTGTTTAGATTAAAGAAAGAGGTCAAATCACATGTGCATAATTTTATATATCATGTTGAAAATTAATTTTATACAAAAGTTAAGAACATTCGTTTTGATAATGAACTCAAAATTTTTTAAGAGATTTTTTACATCAAAAGACATCTTACACCAAATAAATTGTGTTTAGACACCAACAAAGGAGTTGAAAGAAAATATCAAAATACATAATGTAGCAAGAACTTTTATATTTCAATCTTATTTTCTTAGTCATTTATGGTCTTATGCCATTAAACATGTTATTTACTTAATCAATTGAGTTCATAGCCAATCAATTGAAAAGTTCCTTTAAACTTTTACATAATCAAGTCACACATTTTCAAGAATTTAATATTTTTTGTTGTAGTTTATGTGTCAACCCACGTTGCAATTTGTCATGAATTTGATCACGATCTAGATGTGGGTTTAGATAATTGTCTTCTCTTAACCAAAGTTCTAGAGAAGAGATTTTGGACCATTCTTATAGATGCTTAGGTTGTCTAATTTACCTTACAAATATCCATCCAAACATTATTTGTTACATAATAATTGATTTTGTTCCTGTCAAGAACCACTCAAGTTCATTTCAAATCTACTACCAAAATGCTTTGTATCTAAAGAGTTATCTCAATAAAGATTTTTTTTAGCAAGAAATCGTTAATTCAAATTGAGTGATGCAAGTTAGATTATTTGTATAGATTTTTACATATCTATTATAGAGTATTGTTTCTTCATAGAAAAGTTTTTAATTTTTTTTAAGAGTAAGTTCCATATAATTGCTATTCTGATTTATCATTAACAAATTACACTACAAGAAAAATCAAAATTTTCTACGGATAGAAATTCATCGGTAATTGTGTTGTCGGTAAATATTACAAATTTACCGACAACACAATTTTATATTTCTATTTTTTTTAGAGGATTCAAACTCAGTACTTTAGAGTTGGAAGTTAATACTCCGACCACATTAGGCTACTAAAATTTTTTAATAATAATTTACAAATAAATTATATTTATATACAAATAAATATATATCCGTGTAAATATATAAATACAAATATATTTATATATTTTGATATATTTATATATATTTATATAGTTATATATATTTATATGTTAGATGCGAGAATGCGCTCGACGGTGAAAGTGTTTATCGTATTATTTAGAATATATTTAAAATTAAGTAATTATTATATAGTTTTAAATATTTAATTTAATGTTGATTTTAAAAAATATACTTTAAATTCGATCGATAAATGAATAAATAATTACCGACGGATATATTCGATCGGTAACTAATTGTCCATTTAGTAAAATTATTAATTTATCGATAAATATATTCGATCAGTAATTATTTTTTTATTTATTCATAGATTTACCGATCGGATATATCCGTCGAGTAATTATTTGTTTATTTACCGACGAATGTACCGAACGGATATATTCGATCGAAAATTAATTATTTATTTACCGACGGATTTATTAACGGATATATTTGTCGATAATTAATTGTTCATTTATCGATAAATATATCCAGTCGGTAAGATCAAATTCTACAATTACTCTAAATTTGTTGATAATTTCCGTCGATAATCACTTATTTTCTGATGACTCTATATCCAATTCTAAATAAGAAAATTATTGTAATAGTAAACATTTTGATATTGACCGGCATTTTAATTTGATGTAATACATTTTATCATATATCTTTCTCTAATCAATTGAGTAACATCTTCACTAAAATCTTAACTCTATCACTATTTAAAATCAATTTATCCAAACTTAAGCTTATTGATATATTTGAACTTTAGTTTATAATGACTATGAGAAAATAATGAAAATTTCTTTATTCATGATATTAATATTTAAAAAAATTTAAATTGTTATAAATAGAATTACGTAATTGTAATTATGTTATATTTTAAAATTCAATGCTTGAGATGATCATTCTTTTATTGTTTATCTTTTATTCTAAATAATGTAAATTTCTATTAATAAAAAAATTGGATTTTCATGTTGGATGAAATATTCGAGAAACAACCTAAAACGCATGTACTTTTGCTTTTCGTGTGTGTGTAAACTTGCTAAACTAATAACAAGGCTTAGATTAGACTAACAATTTTCAGTCTACAATTACATTTACAAACTAAACCTGAAATTAACGTATTAAATTCAGTAATGATTAACTATCTTGAAAAATTCCTATTTACCACATCTATTATATATCATATATAATTATGTTTATCTACGTTTCATCACTTGTGTATGTGGAATACGTAAAACTAAAGATTTAGTAAAGAATTTTCAAATGGATCCTAGCTAGGTAACATTTTCCGAAAATTATTCCATAATAACTACTCAATCTGAAATTCAACTTTCACTTGTTCAACTCTTTCTAAGGGTGTTCAGTTCCTGGAACCTGCATACCCTAATTGAAAAACATGCTCCATGAAATCAGCAACAAAATAACTTTATATATATAGGCAGGGGGACCGGAAAACATTAGAATAAGAAAATCGGTTTGAATGCTTCTAGAAGTGGATTCACTCACACAATAAATCATAACCAAGATGGTCCTTATTATCGCATTGCAATATACTAGTCTCATTTCTTCAAAGCAACCACTATGGCTTACCCTTTCTGTCAGCATTCAGATTGGGGCACGTTGATGGAGCCTTCGAATACTTTGTTTGAACCATTTTCAAGCAGAGATATTGGTTATGACCCTTTCCATGACTCTCTTTCTTTTGATATGATCGACCACTCAAGTGATCCACAGGAACCAGGTGAAGTGATTGAAGCTATGGAAGTGCTGAAAAGTAAGAAGTCTTACGTTGGGGTAAGGAAAAGACCGTGGGGAAGATTTGCAGCGGAGATCAGAGACAAAACGAGGAGAGGTAAGAGGGTTTGGCTAGGAACGTTTGATAATGCAGAAGAAGCTGCTTTGGCTTATGATCAAGCTGCATTTGTCATGAGAGGATCAAGTGCAGTGATGAATTTTCCTGTCAAAAGGGTCATTGAGTCTTTACAAGAGATAAATTATTTTGGTTGCAGACAAGGGTGCTCTCCTGCGTTGAAACTCAAAGAGATGCGACGAAAATTATCATCAGAGGCTAAGGAAAGTAAAAGGAAACGGGAATTGGAGGAACCCAGCGTTGTGGTGTTTCAGGACTTGGGAGCTCAATATCTGGAGACACTTCTTACCATATCAGATCAAAGTGCAAGTGCAAGCTCTAGCTGCTGAGTAAGGACAAAAATTTATGGGATCTTCAACAAGATTATAAATTTTCTTCTCTCTCTTCCTTTCTTTCTTAATATGTTCAAACTCATTCTTCAAATATAACTTACTAAAACCCTTAGATTTATCTAAGTATCCTAGCAACCCTCCTAAATAAATTCGTTCTTCAGAGATTTACTATTCTTCTGTTGAACCTTCTGTCGTTTATTTTCTTCTTTCTTTCATAACACCGTGTCATGCCTGTTGATCCCTTTAAAGTTCATTTTACCAAAAGAATGGTTCTTCGTCTAATATGTCGTCGCTAAAATTCATCCATACCAATGGATATGTCAGTGACTTCATTTGATCATTAAAAGTAGAGTATCCTGGACTTTCACGCAATAAAAGAAGGAAAATATATATTAGGTTTCCTTGAACATTAGCCGAATTTATAAGAGATTAATATTTACTCTATAACCTCATAACCTTTTTCACTTTGTTACTTCAAATTAGGGAATTGTGTCTTATTAAATAAAGCCAATACATAGATTAAGATGTAATCTAATTTACACTTTGGTTTGAATTATATCATTAAGTTTTTTCAGTGTCACACAAGTTTCTTCAAATGGATTTGAGACTTAAGGTTACACAAAGTCTAAGTAAGTAAATGGGATACTCTTGTTTTCTTAGGGTAACACTTGAAAATATTAACTGAAAAATATACTGAGATATAAATAAAATTGTACCGTATGATAAATATGTGTATCTAGGTTATAAAAGGCTAAAATATTTTATAATTATATTAAATTTTAATAAAATAATATATAATATATATAATTGAAAATCTCATTTCATGCAATATGATTTATATATATATATATATATATATATATATATATATATATATATATATAAAGATATGTAACGTGATATGATTTAAATATTGACTATTTTATATGTTAAAAATTGGTTTTATGTTAAAAATTTTATGAGAGTGAAAATTTACCATTTTATTTTTTGTCAAAATATTATTTATCTAATTCGATCAACTTTGTTGAAAGGATTCATGATAAGGTCATGTTTTGAAAGTCCATATCTACCCTTTTACATATTTGGGACTACTTTCACGAATTCAACAACATATTTTCACTTATATATGTTTAATAAATGTCTCAACCTTGTTAACCTGCCAAAAGAACATAAGTTTATGTTCCATGCTTAGCATATATATAATAATAGAGTCAATAAAAAATGATTTTGCATTTTAATTTGTTTGTTGAAGTAGACAAAATGATTTTGCATTTTAATTTGTTTTGGCATGATGTGTTTTTAATAGTAACATGATGAAATTTTTTGTGAATAAAATATTCCGAGTCAGGACACAATATATTATGCCAGAATGACAGAAACTCCTTTTTTCACTTTGTAGTTTTTAAAGGTAAATAATGATTTATTATAAAGAAATAAGAGATACGCTTAGCTTAAGTAATTAAAAAATCGTAAAAAATATAATTACAAAAAGAGAATGAAAATATGATTTTGAAGTGTGTAATGATGGAGTTTATTTGTGTAAGAGAGAGTGATCAATCAAGCGAAGAATAAATATTTTATTCATTAAAAAATTATAAATTATTGTGTTTTTTAATTTTATATTTTTGTAAAATTTGTAACTCTTACATTAATAAAAATAAAAATTTAAAATGGTCAAGGAAAATATTATTCTTTCACCATAATTCCTGTATGTCGATAATTAATTTAATATTAATTCGATAATAGATGATTTATTTTAATATTTCAACATCTTTAAAATTTATCAATCAATTTAATAAGATAAAATTAAAATAAGATGAGTTAATATTAGTCCAATAAAACATAATTTATAAAAACTTTTTTCACTTTCTTAAAAAATGTTATAGTTTTAGTTTATTTAGTATGTTAATTTTTATTACAAGTTCCAATAAAAATAAATTATACAAATTTAGATGTTCTAAATAATAAACTGGTGTTTACAAAGATATAATTTGTATGTGCTAAATAATAAACTGGTATTTACAAAGATAAGAGTACATCCTCTTAGCATAGAATAAAACATTCTTGATCAATTAAATTTTTAATAGAGTTTTTTTTTTCTTTATTTTCTCTCTGCATTCGTGGCTTAGAAGTATTATATGTGATATTTTTTGAGAAAAAAAATAAATATTTGATAGTGTAGGTTATTAGTTTTATATTCAATTTGTTGATTAAGTTTTATTTGAACATGTTTTGATTTTTGTTTTTTATTAGATTCTACTTAGAGTTTTGTTTGGTTAGTTAAATTTTCAAGAGAGGTAGTACATAGGGATGGAGGAAGAGGCGGCATAGAGATGTCATAGTCACCCAAAAAATATTATACTCTTTTAAATTTTATATAAAAAATTAGTTTATAATTATTTTTATTGAAAAAAATGACCTTTCATTTCTCAGTCCTATGTTTACGTTCATTATAATATAAAGGTCAGAAAACCTGAATTTATAATAGGTTGAAATAAGAAATTATATATTATTAACTGAATGATGGGTACAATTTTGACATTGATATTAGTTTTGTTCCTATTAGTAATGATGGAATAGTTTATTTGTGACTTTTTGCCCATTATGAATTTATGTGGATGAGTATGTTTCTCATTTAGTAATTGATAAGTAAGATATATAAGTAAGTAATATCAAGACATTTAAAAATATATAAGGTTCATTTTATGAAACTAAAAAAATAGTAAAAAAAAAAAGTATTTATTTTAGAATAACAAATAACACTCCCAAATTATAATAAACAAAAGATCCTTATAAGCCAAAACCATTATATTGCAAACTTTGTATCAAACATACGAGGTTTGTACAATAAAAGTAAAATTGATATTTTTGTTAATTTTTTCGTTCTTTGTTTGATATTTTATTATTTGAAAATTTTCTTATCAGTTTGTGAAGAATGAAATTGAAGGAGGAAAAAATGTATTGAAAATTAAAATTATTTAAAGTGAAACTAGGTAAAATGTAAAATAAATATATTTAATTTGAAAAAAATTATTTAATAAAATTATTTTTAAACAATTGAAACATAATTAATTGTGTACATTTTTCACTTTTTTCTGACCATAAAGAATCCAAATCTTCAAACATAAAGTAAAACTTCTGATGAAAATCGCTTATTCAAACATTAAATTAAGGATAAAATTACGAGGAGTCACTTACATTAAACTTAAAACTAAAATAGTATCTTATTTCTAAACAAAACATATTAACCCTAATAATCATTTCATAAAACCCGAATCATAACTAACCAAACATTCCCAGGAAGTACACACCTTCCCCCAACACAGATTGAATAAAACGTAAACTATATATTGAAATCAATGTAGTAAGGTTTATGATGCAGTAACTTGTGTGTTGATTATGTACCTGTATTTATGATGTAGTAAGGTTTGGTGAAGATTTTGTTTCCTTCAGATGAGTCATGGTGATATTGGAATAATACCTCTAAATTGATTACTTTGAACACAAATTTCACATTTTTTATTATTTCATTTGTGAAAGAATTCAGGGATAAGATCAAGGCTCATCCTTTTTTCACTACAAGAAAAATCACTTTTAGCGACCGAAAAAATCGGTCGCTAATAGCCAAAATTCGGTCGCTATTCTGTTAGCGACCGAAATTAGCGACCGAAATGGTTGGTCGCAAAAGGGCAAGTCGCTAAGTTGTTAGCGACCGATTTACATTTCGGTCGCTAAATAGCGACCGATCTGGTGGTCGCTAAATAATTTGGTCACTTATTAATTGGAGACCAAAATAGCGACCGAATTAAGTGGTCGCTAAAGCGGTCGCTAAATCCAGTGGTAAAGTTTTAAAAAATAGCGACCAATATATTCGATCGCTAATATATTAATATAATTATTTAAATAATAATTAAAATCGGTTACTAAATCGATCGCTAAATAGCGATCGAAATGAAAATCGATGGCTAAATAGCGACCAGATTTAAATCGATCGCTAAATCAATAACAAATTTAATTATTTTTATTTATTTACATTTTTATTATATTTATTATTTATTTTCCCTACCTCTTAATTATATTATATTTTTGCTTATTTAAGTTTTTATTTATATTTATTTCTCCTATCTCTTAATTATATTATATTTTTTAGAAGTTTAACTTATTATTAGGTGATTTATTGTCATTGTCAGGATTCGAACCCGGTACCTTAGAGTTGGAGGCTGAAACTCCAACCACTGAGCTACTTAGGATCTTTTAATAATAACTTACAAATAAATTATATTTATATACAAATAAATGTATATCCAGTATAAATATATAAATATAAAATCTATAAATAAATATATATTTATATATTTTAATATATATTTAAATATTGATATATTGATATATTTATATCTTTATATCTTTATATTTTTACATATATTTATATTTTTATATATTTATATCTTCATATTTTTACATATATTTATATCTTTTCATATTTATATATAAAGATATTAGTTTTCTATATAAATAATATTATAATATAGTATATTATACTATTAGTATAGTATACAAATAATATATTAGTATAGTATAGTATACAAATTATTAATTTTGTAATTTATATACAATGAAAATAATATAATGGTATATTAGTATAGGATAGTATATTTGTATTCTAATTTTTAATTAAATTAAAATTATGCTAATAATGTATATTAATATATGAGGGGATAATATTGATATATTGATATATTTGTATATATATATATATATATATATATATATATATATATATATATATTTATTTATATATTTATATATTTATATATTTATATATTTATATATTTATATATATATATTTATATATTTATATATTAATATATTTATATATTAATATATTTATATATTAATATTTTGATATATTTATATATTGATATATTGATATATTTATTTATATCCTTATACATTTATATCTTTATATATATTTATATATTTGAAAAAAAATATTA